GTAGAAATTTAATTAATAAATTTTTAATAAATCCATAGACAATACACACAATGCTTTGTAATATAATGAAAGATATATCACTAATAATAACTTATTTAATGTATGTACATATGTATATAAAAATATTCAATAATATTATCTTTTGTATCATATCAAAAGTAAATTTTATTTTATAATTACATATCCTAAAATAATTCATGACATGAATTTAATATTTATATAATTAATTAGAAATAATATCATAATGTATCAAAAAAAGAAAAAGAAGGTTGACATCTAATGAAAGATAATATATATATAAAATGAAATATGATGATACATTTTGAAAATATTTGAATTATTTTAAATTCTGAAAAAATGAGATGGAAAAATATGTATATATAAAGAATCGAAATTCTTCCATTTTTATAAAATAAATTCTAGAATATTTAAAAATTTTTGAAATATCACAAAAAACTTTAATTAGCTTTTATCAAAAAAAATAAAAAAGAAATAAAGATAGAATTTCTAGTCTTTTATCTAGAAGATCAAGTTTCACTAAAGTAAAAAAAAAAAGACTTCGCACAAGCAGTATTTACTCTGACAACAGAATCAATATCAGCAGTAGTATCAACATTAGTAATGAGAGGAGAGACTGAAACGAAAGATGTGTTGATATTAGATAATGATAAAAGATGAACATCTCCATTATCGCAAGTAAGAAAATGAAGAAGAACAGAAATATGAAGAAAAGACCAACATTCTGATAGTAATTTTTCAAAAATTTTCATATTAAAATATTTAATAAAAATGTTTTATAATGTATAATTTATTTTATTAGAAGAAGAAGAACCATTGACAAGAAAAGAAAAAAATGACTGAATACTAAATTATTTAAAAAAAATTGATAAAGAAGTTGGAGACCTACGAAAAGAAATGGTTGACATCTGAAAAAAAATTGAAAGCAATAAATTATGGGATGAGATGTACATTTCAACTTTTGTCAATATAAGTAATTTATTTATTTTCTTTACAAAAAAAATATTTTGCTTATAATATTCTTAATATTTTAAAAAAAAAGAAAATTGTTATAAAATTGTGAACAAGATAATTTTGAAAATAATTTATCCAAGTAACGAAGTATTGAAAGTAATTGTTACAAACTATATTATTCAAAAATATTTAGAGCTTTTTAAAAATTAAAAAAACAAACACTAAACATTTTATTACAATTTAATTATTCAAAAAAAATAAGTTTTATCGAATTACATTATAATTTAAATGTTCTAATAATTGACAAAAGATTTTGAATTATTCAAAGTTAATAGAAAGGTATTAGTCAAGAAGGAAAACTATATTTTTGCAAATCAAAAAATCAATATTTGTGATATTTCAAAATCTTTTGCAAATAACTATGAAGGCACCACCAAGTGAGATTAAAAATTGGAAGGAAAAACATATATTTAAAGAATGTTACGAAAAGCTATACACAAGTATACCAGAGGATGAAAATAAAACCTAGTGTGGAAAGATCATTTATGAAATATGACCAAATGTCGAAAAAATATCTAAAGAACAAATAGTATTTGCAGTAACATTATACGAAAGTTTTTTAAATCCAAATAATAAAATTAAAAAATGATAATAAATATTTAAGTAAAAAAATACGAAAAAATAAATTAGATATTAAAAATATCTGAAATTTTGTTATCTATAATATTCTAATAATATATATAATTTGTATTAATAGAAAAAAATAGA